ATGGTGACCTTGAAGAAGAAGAAGTGTACATGCATGCACCTAAGACCACCCACCTTGAAGGAGCTGAAAGAGTTCGTAGATATCTTAAGAAGTTTCCAGGTGCAGGTTTATTGTTCCAAAAGCACGGGCATTTGAAAGTTGAGGTGTATACCAATGCAGATTGGGCAGGATCCCTATGTGATAGGAAGTCCACTAGCGGCTACTGTACCTTTGTGGGAGGGAACCTAGTTACCTAGAGAAGCAAAAGGCAAAATGTGGTGGCTAGGTCTAGTGCTGAAGTTGAATATAGGGCAATGTCTCATGGAGTGGCTGAAATTATGTGGCTAAAAAATTTTTTGAGTTGGGATTTACAATTGATGGACCTATGACCCTATACTTTGATAACAAAGCAGCCATATTGCCATAAACATTGTTGTTAATCCAGTGTTGCATGATAGAACTAAACACATCAAAGTCGACAAACATTTTATCAGAGAAAAGGTTGTTAAAGGGGAAGTGTGTACCCCCTATGTCAGTTCTGAAGACCAACTTGCAGACATCTTAACAAAAAGGTTACATCACTTGCGGCATCATGATTTATGTGACAAGTTGGGCATGATTGACATCTATGTCCCAACTTGAGGGGGAGTGTTAAAAGTCTATTAATATTTTAAGTTTAGTACCATAGGGGTACTATTGTACTTTCTCCCTCTTTTATTTTGTTTTATGTCACCCTAGTATAAATACAAAAAGTTGGCGCCGCTAGCTTGACTTTTGGCTCTAAATCTCTTTTCTCTCATCTCTCTTCTCTCTTCTCTCTTCTCTCTTCCTTTCTTCTTCTCTTCTGAGTAATAAATTGTAATCATCATCTTAATGGGAATCATCTGAATTTACACTTTCTCAATTGAGATTATTTGGAGGTTCTTTCATCTCCCTTGAAGTAGACGGAATCCCATGTTACGTCCTATCCGGGATCGTAATAGTTAACATCTACACTCCGGTGATAATTTTGAAAGTAAACATTGCATTGTTTATACAGTTTAAATGTTTTGTAGTAAAAACATTAGAAAGTCAGACAGAACTTATAATGGTGATCTAGAGGCTTGCCAACAGACAAACATTACCAGTTCCTATTTCTAAGTATTATAATGAGATATTGATATGTAAAGATGCAATTCTGGTCGTCCTTGTTTCCAACTTTCCATGCCTTTTTCAGCATCAAATGCAAGTGCATATTTTGAATTGCTACATCCCTCTAAGGTTCTAACTATTATTGCCTAGACCTAGACCATTCAATTGGATCAACGGTTAAATATAAATTGTAAAAATCATATTAAGTACCTTGAACTTTCCTTCCTTGGGTTGCTCTCTTTGGAAGAAAATTATGGAAATCTACCCTCTGGCTCAAAGTGGTTTGTCCCTTAAGTTGGGTTCAGGTCTTTGTTTGAAATTTTGGAAAGACAGCTGGTGTAACAGTAGGTCCCTTGAAGAGCTGTTCCCTCACCTGTTTCAACTCACAGAGAATCAGTATGTAATGGTGGCAGATTGTTGTGAGCTGATGGGGAATAGTCTTGCATGGAGCCCTAAGTTCAGAAGACCTTTCCAAGATTGGGAAGTGGACCAAGTGGTGAACCTGTTGAACTTGCTCACTAGTCAAGTTCTGAACCCATTGGAAGAAGATTCATGGATTTGGAAATGGAATGTTGATGGACTATTCACTGTAAGCTCTTTTGCCAAAAAATTAGCTAGTGGAGGACTGGATAACTTTCCTGCTACAAGAATCTGGACTCAGATTCCTCCTCTCAAAGTGAATCCGCTGCTGTGGGTGGTGGTATTGGATAAAATCTAACTAAACAGAATATGACAAAAAGAGGAATTCTGATTCAGAACATGTTGTGTGAGCTGTGTGGGCAAGCAGAGGAGGACAACAATCATCTCTTCATCCATTGCCCTTTTGCAGCTGGAATTTGGAACCATTTTCTCTCTTCGGAAGGTATTTCTTGGGTCATGCCAAAACAGGTTCCAGATCTGCTAAGGAGTTGGGATTTGTTAGGTCTTTCTAAGCTGGCTAGAAGTGTGTGGTGGGCTATCCCTGCAGCTGTTATCAGTTCAATATGGGCAGAGAGAAACAGAAGAATCTTTCAGAATAAGAAAAAAGAGGTGGACTGTCTTGTGTATGGTGCAATGGGAAAGCTAGTGTCTTGGTCTGCAGGTGTGAAAGGCATCCAGCCTAGGGTCTTGGGGTCTCAGTTAAGATCTGTTAGTAAGCTGAGAGGCTGTTCTCAGTCTTTGCTCCCTTCTGGGAGGTCCTTTGTATGGTTCTGATTTCTATTAATAAATTTACCTTACCTTTTTCAAAAAAAAAAAAAAATCAAGTCATGATGTGATGTCAAAATATATTTAGTTATTAGAAAAACACATGGTACTTTAATTCTATGTTTCTAGTTTGAATTTTTGTATCAGGTTTGTCCATTCCAGAAGCTACTTTGCACTCTAGTATGCAAATTTCTTTTAGAACCCTGCTTAAAGGAAAATGAAACAAAATCTTTTCCTTTTGTGGTGTACGCCTAACTCCTTGCCTCAGGCACCTTTTAAAACCATGTCTTGGAGTCCTTTGTTTGACAGCCAATGCACTACTTGATTTTCCTGTTGAGAGTACTTGATCTCCAATCCTTCTTTCCTTGCAATGTTGTGATGTTGGTGATGTTCCAAGGTGGTTTAATCTTTTTTTGGAGGCTGATATTTTTGAATTTCCTTATATCCAATCCATTTTCCAATGCCACCATGTCAGCTTCTGTAACCACCCAAGTTGCTGCTATATTAATTGTTGTCCTTCCAATGTACTTCACTCTAGTTTTTTTCTTTTTAATTGTACCATTTGGTCTCTCATTATAGGGCTGTTTCCCCATTTGAAGGCTGGGATTTATCAAAATTTATTTTGATGGATCCAGAGTCAGCAGCTATCTTTTTTACCATACACCATTTTAATTTATTCATGTCCTCAGAGTTTCTATTCAATGGTCTTTGTTTTTCCAAACTGACCATAATATGAATGCTGTTTTTTGCCAGTAATATTCAATCTCTCTCCCTGTCTTGATTTGATGATATGGTTTCACCATTCTGCCACTGATCTGTCCTCATCATTTCAAGCCGGGCAGTTGGAACTTATGGTAATCCAAACTTGTTTAGTTAACAAGAATTCTTTGAATAAATGGTTCACATCTTCTGGACCTTCCTCACATTAAGTACGTTCCATGTTTATGTTCATCTCCCATTGCCCCCTTTTGGGAATTGTTTTGTGGGGAGCCTGCTATTGAGTGGTAGCCACAGAAAGGTTTTGATTTTTGGAGGGCACTTGATTTTGCATATCCTCCTAATAGATTTTTAAGTTTGTAATCTGTATGTCCAATAATCTCAGAATGATTTTATAAGCTGATTTCATTGTAAATGTGCCTGTGTCTTCTCCCCACCTTATTTTATCTTTTCCAGGTAGTATAGACAATGTTATGGTTTGAAATTCTTTTTTAGTGTTGGTAGATACTAATTGGTCAATTCTATTTATTTTCCATTGTCCACTCTTAGGGTCAATTATTTCCACAACTTTTAAGTCCAAGTTAATTTTTGGTCAATCCCCGTTACCAATTCTATTAATGAATTGTTCATTTGAGATTCAATTGTCAGTCTAAAAGATGGGTTTTCCTTATTTCTAATCCATCTTAGAACCATCATAACATTGTTTCTATTAGACAATTCTCCTCAAGGCCCACAAATTGTTCTTTCTATTTAAGATCGCCCACCCTAGTTTTGATAAGTTACAGAATTGGTGTATTCAGATTTTCTAATCCCAGGATGAAACTCTCAATTTTATCCTCTCAAACACATCAAGGGAGTGACTTTTGTTACTCTACCATGGATGGTAGGGGTTCCAAGATATTTGTCTTTCATACTTCCCATGGGGATTTTGATGGCTCTAACAAGAGTTCTTTGTAATTTCTAAGAATATTCTTGGAGTAATATGTCATTGATTCCTTAAAATTTGGTAACTGGCCCAATTCTTCAGCATAATTGGCAAATATTTGCCTAATGGCGATGCATGTTAGGAGTCACTTTTGCATGTACCATGCAATAATCATAAATTGAATGATTGGGATAATGACTTCATTTTTCTTTTTCTTTTTTTTTTTTTGAGGTTTTAACCCCAAAGCTTATCCTTTCTATTTCCTGTAGCTTTTAATATATGTCCTGTTAACACGTCTAAGCATGTGATAAATATTTCAGTTGGGGACCCATTTATTAAAACTTCGTGTTAAACTATGGTTATACCTTCCATATCCCAATTTACCCATTTTTGGTTGAATCCAGACTTCAGAAGGACTATTACAGTGAATTCCCATTCTAATTTATCATATGCTTTTTTCCATGTCTATTACAGCAAATTGTTCCAATTTTGCCTTCTTTTTTAAATGTATCATTTTAATTCATGGGCTATTAAGATGTTATCAAGTATTTGTATTTTAGTAACAAACGTGTTCTGGTATGAAGAGATCCATTTCTCCAAGGTTTAACCTCATTACTAATTTGATTCTAAATCAGACTCCTGTTGGCTTTATAATTCCTACATCAACTATATAAAATAAAACTGACCTAATATTTAATATTTCTTTTACCCCAATGGATGTATATTGACCAGATCCACTGTGTACGACGAAACAAATTTTGCACTAGCATCCTCTTCTTGTGGGGCAGCTGATAATATCTTACCAAAATATGATAACACAATGGCTCTATTTCTGCCCAGGATCAAATGTAAAAGCACTTCCTGCTCATAAACTATTTGGAAATCTAAGTATGACAAACTCTCTTTTATTCTAATGCATGTTCTTTTCTTCCTTTTCAACTTTAGGACCTGATTGGCACCAATCTCGTAACCCTATTTTTCAATATTTTCCCTTTCTCTTCTGCTCAATAGATGACATACTAAAGGCACATTTAATCCAGGGCATGGTTTCTTTACTTTTCAGGTTACATATTTAGAACCTGGCCAAAGCTCTGAAATTGAAGGGAAGAATGGTCTTAAAGTCATAGTAAAGGCTACTGCAGGGCCTATTTTAGGTCCACCTTGGCAGCGTCCAGAAAATGGGTTAAGTCCTTAAACTTGCCAAATTGCCAATGTTACATCATACTTATTCTTACCCAGGACCCAGCTGATTTGGATTTTTGTATATTAGATACTTATCAATTCCCATTTAGGAGCAATATGTTGACACCTCTTGCCCTGATGATTTCTCGTACCACATCTCACCATTCTATTTTGTATTCCAGGTATCTCATCACTTATAGGCAAGATTGCTTGACTCTTTACTATGAACCTCATTGTGTCTACAACAAGGAATTTCTGGAAAAGGAGCATGCTGACATTGTCATTACACCTGTGATAAAGCAATTGCTACCAAAGTTCACTTTGGTTTCAGGACAAGAAGATGCCGTTCAGCTTGCAAAGCTTCTAAATTCCAAGTATGACTTTTAACTTGACCTTGGCGTTTATGGTTGGGGTGGCATATCGTTATCTTCTTTGCATTTAGATTATTGTTTTTGTTCTTTTCTTTCACAGATTTATTATACCAATGAAGAATGGAGATCTTGACAGCAAAGGGCTTCTCTCAGCTATAATTCAGGCTGGAGGGACAATAGAATCATTCAAGGTTAGAATTTTGTTAATCCTTGTTTAAATTGGAAAAACAAGGATTCCATTATCTTAAAAAACGCAAAGCTTGCTGTTGAAATTCAAATGCCACATTCATTGTCATAAATCCATCTTTACCCATTGAGCACCCTGCTGACCAACCAAAAGAAAAGGAAATAAGAATTGGTTATGCCACGAGTCACAACTAGTTGCTACTAAAAAAAATCTATGTAGTTCCGCAGCATAAGGTATATGGTGCATTATGTGGTATTGCTAATTTCTGGAAGCTTTACGTGGAAAGGCTCATGTAGTTGTTTCTTAGGCTCAGTTTGGAAGGAGGAGTGCAAATACAAATATGTAGAGTGCAAAATCTTGTATTTTGTATCAATTTGTACTGTACATATTTGTATTTGTACTCTTGCCAAACTGAGCCTTATGTACATTTTTAAGTCACCAGTTAAACCTTCTGAGGGCCACAAAATTTATTTGCAATTAATCATTCATCCAATCAAAGTAGGGAAGATAAGCTTTTGCAGTTGGCTATTATTTCTTGGGGGATTATTTGGACTGTTTTCCATTTCCTTTTTATCACCCAGCTTCTTTCTAAAATTGCTATTAAATGACAAAGTTGATGACTTCGATATACAGGATCTTTTGTCCAAAGAGCTACCAGATGCGGAGGTACTAGAGCCAACCCCTGGTGTACCGGTGGAAATTCCAGCATTATCAAATACCCCATAACATATTTTTACTCTTTGTAATAATGTTGTTGTTTCAGTTATTCTTTTCATTACCAATTTTGGATACATTTCCTTAAAGCATGTACATATATATAAATATATCATTTCTTAGTTTTATGGGTTCGTAATAGCTAGAATTTCACTTACTTATGTGAATGAGTGGCTAATGCTCGTAAGGTTCTAATTCTCAAAACAAGGTCCTCAAATGTGGTTTATGTCATGTAGGATGAGGGGTTGAGCCAGGACTCCTCATTTGGAAGGCCACTGTATATACCTTAAAAGTTTATGTTGTGAGCCACTCTATTTCAATGGTGGCCAAAATCCTTTCAACCCCAACATACATAAAGGGTGCTCTGAAGACTTCTCTCCACTCTGGCTCCACCCCTGTGTGGAATGGGCAACTAATTTGGTCCATTTGTTAAGGCTGCGTTTGGAAGCAATGCAAATGGAGTGTAAATCCCGGATCAGGGAAAATTTGCACTCTGGTTCACTTTTGTCTGTGTTTGGCAACATTACATTTATGCATTGACAAATGACAGACCAATACATATTTACATTGATAATAAGAAGTAAAAGTACATCAATAAAAAAGAAGTAAATTTGCATTCAACTTTACAATTTGGCAAGAAGGTAAATTTGTCAGTGCAAAATTAACCCAACTTTACAATTTATATGAACCGTTTTACACTATATATTTGCATTCACACTTGTTTGCATCGTTTCCAAATGCAACCTAAATATTTTGTATTTTAAATGTTTGACTGAAGGAAGATATTGTGTATTGTATGTATACAAAACTCAACCAATTGTAGCAACAAGATTTTTTGTTGTTTGGAATAATGTGTCATAGATTAGGGTTATTTCTCAAACAAGAGAAAACAATGGAATGACAGATTTGTAACCAATCAAAACTTCTCTCCTTATAGCAGAAAGCTCTAGTTTGCATTTTCTTCCAAGTTATCCTAAAAGTTCCTCTGTTGCCTGATTTAGATCTTTTGAGCCACCAACACGCGGTATCCTTTCATCCTTTATGTCTTCATTGGAGCTTCTGGAAATAACGTCTTTGCCTTAGTTTCTGCTTTAAGCCTGGAACACTCCCAAATTTTTCTATATGCTAATCATTGAACTTAAAATATCTTTCATCCACAAAAAGAAACACGAAGTTTTTCTCCAGTACTAATTCACAAGCATGAAAGGAAGAAGAAAACTTAAAACACAAGCATGCTTTTCCACATCCTCCAAGCTCAAGTGAAAATTACATGCCCTTTTTTATGGATAAAAGCAAACTATCATTACAAAATAAGAAATGGGGAAGTAAACAAATATGTTAAAGAAGTTGACTTAACTATTACTAATCTGTCTCGTTCAGCAATGTCATGAAAATGTATAGTAAATCTTATGCATTACTGTTTTTAAGATCCTTTTGTCTCATAGTTTATAACTCGCTCATATCCTCAAGAAATTTTCATTACTATGGTATGCATTGATGTTTTTAAAATACAGTTGTGCAGATGAAGAAATTTGCATTACCATGTATATGATGACAAATAGAAGAACAAAGACATGAGAAATGTATGCCCGTGTATACATGCAGCTTGACTTTAGTTATTTCCTTTATTTCACTTGCTTTTACTGCATTGGTTAATTGATCTTTTAGTGTTTCCTCAAAAACCGGATTTCCTCTTAAAACCATTGATTTTGATCAGCGAACCGCTGAATCGGGCGATTAATTGTTCGAATGTTTTTTTTTTTTAATTTTTTTATTTTTTTGTCAGAACAGTCTGAACATTCGATTCAAACAGTTAGACCATTCAAACCAGTAATCAGACCCCTGACCGATTCGGTTACCAGTTCAGTTTTAAAAACCATGGTTTCTTTTTCTTTTTATGTTATTGGGCAACCAATGGATATCTTTATTCTTCAAAGGTAATATCTAGTTAGACTGACTATTGGAATCCTTTGACACGGCTGTGTTAAAAACTTAAAATATTAAAACGTAAAGTTTTTTTTTTTTCAGATTTGACATATTTTAGCTATTATTTCCGTCTCCAGTGTCAACCTTAGTTTATTGCTCACTCCACTTTGTTTCTACGTAAATGACAAGGAAAAGAGATAACCAGCACTATATTCTGCTCTGTGGTACTCCCCCATGTGAATGGAAACCATTAGTTTCATTCTCAAATCTCAAGTGTTTATTTTTCCTTTTAAAGAATGGAAGGAAGAAACATGGGTCTTTCATAACTGACTCATAACAGGGTAGGTTTTGAAGCTTACCACGTGGAGGGAGGTGAGATGGTGGAACAAGTGGATTCTGGATCTCTTGTTCCTGAGAACTTTGCCCAAGTCTATCCATAACACACTACCCCCATGAATTAGAAACATCTCTTCCTACATAATATTATGTGGGAGGATGAGATGTTTTTCATCCGGGGTTATGATTGAAGGCCCTGTCTTGACAGGAGGTTCCAGTTCCACGAATTTTACCACCTTCCAAGGAAAGAATCCCAAGTTTCCAACACGGCAAAGATTACCCATCTCCGGTCCATTAATGCTTCACGGCCAACCGAGTCAATATTTGCTGACGGAATGGTGAGCTCTCATAACCAACTCAGGTACTCACTTTACACCTACACATTTGCCTTGCATGCATGCGTTGTAAAGCTTATTGGTGTCTCTCCATGTGGACTCAGCATCTGCCGTAAACCCTATTCTATGATTTTTTCAGTAAATTTCATCCATCTGCCCTCCAATTTCCTGTGAATGCTTTACTGTAGCTGGCTATTCTTGCAGTTTTGCTACCTTAAAAATATGATGTTATTTTATTAATGGGAAAATCTATGATGCGGAAAAAATATGACATGGGAAGAGTTTTGACCAATCAAAATCCACTCATGAATTTTGATAAATAATATCTGATTGGCTATCACGTTTATGATTTCAGTTGATTGGTTAGAAAATTTTCAGATATCATATCTTTTCCATATCATAGTTGAACCCTTAATTAAAACATCGTAATAAGGCTTATTGATGGATTATGAAAGTCTGATATCCAATTCGATTCTGAATCCAGTTATTTTAGATTTGGATGTTAGAATTTACTCTCAATTGTTAGTTAAAAAAATTGCATTCAATTAATAATAAGATCGTTGGGTGTGGATTAAGCCCATCCGATCCAATTAAAATTCAAATCCGATAAATTTAATATTTTATACTTATAAATATTTATTATACATATATAAGTTAAAAATAACTTATTTTTAATTTTTTTTATCATTTTAAACACAATAAGATGATTTTAAATTAAATCTGAATTAAATCCTAAATCTGATATGTTAATTTCGGATTGGATGTAGATATAAAGGTTTGACACTCAAATGTGGATGCTGATGTAGCTAGATCTGATCCTATTATTAGGGGTGGATTCGAGTCGAGTCGAGCCGAGCCAAATAGTACGAGGCTCGAGCTCGGTTTGCCAAGGTAGTACAAGGCTCGATCTCAAGCTTGAGCTCAGTTCGAGATAGAACCTTGAGCTCAAGCTTGGCTCGGGCTAGATTTGAGAAAAAATGTTTTATAAAAATAAAAAATTATATATAAAAAATATTTTTTATTTGATATTTAAAGAATTAAGAACTATAATATTTTTATTATATATATTATTTTCTATAATTATAATACATATATATATATATATATATATATATATATATATATGTATGTATATCTGAGTTCGAGTTTGGCTTGTTTATTAATCGAGCCTGTAAATTGGGCTCGAGCTTGGCTCGAAACTTGGTTGAAACCGAGCCAAGCCGAGCTCGAATAGCTCGTGAAGAGCTTGGCTCATGGCCACCCCTACCTATTACAGCCATACTAACCCTTTTTCCCTCTCTTAAGTCTCATCTCTCTTATCTCACATAATGGTTTCTATTCCCAATGGGATTCTCTAAATTTTGCATGGTGTTCAGAAATGAGAATGCCCACCTCGTGTGGTTTTCTCCTCAATGGTGTTTTAGTAATAAAGCCTTAAAGATCCCAAATCCTACTACATATCTAAGGTGGTGTTTGGCATTGATGCCATTTTTTGAGAAAATGGTGCCACATCAGTGTCACATTAGAAAAGGCGGTGCTTCAGAAAATGGCCTTTTATTTGGCATCGTTTTTTCAGGAAAAAAAAAGTTGCTCCAAACTATACTTTGAAAATGAAGAAAGTGTGATATGAAAAAACACCAAATTCAATGTTTTCTCAAAAAACAGCCTATTGCTGCCAACGGTGCAATGACGTGCATCAATGTGGCACAATCTTGGGCATTGGATAATGTAGACCAATTAACGGTTATACAACACTGGTACCAAACAAAAACAGTGCTGTTTTCCTAGAAAATAGCCTATGTGGCAGCAACGATGACAAAAAAAAAAAAAAAAGCCATTTTCTAAGAAAACGATGCAACAGACCCTCATGCATACAACACCATTTTCTCAGAAAACATCTCTGAAGTAATGGCATTGATGCCAAACACCTACTAAACGACTTTGGATCTCCTACCCACAAGAAACCTACATACCTACCCATAAAACACTATAACGGTACATCGGAAACATCTCCCATGTTATGATTGATGGGTGATGTTCCGGATGAGCGGCTGTGGCGTCCTGTGGGTAGTGCTACTCTTGTCAATCGAAACAGGCTTCCTGTGCTTCAATGATAAAAGTATAAAACATTAAAAATTTAAAACCTACATTATGGTAGGTTATTGCTCTGGTCAGTGATGTCTAGTGAGCTACAATAATGGAGATGCTTCGCTGGCCCTCATAGTTAGAGCATGATTCATGCTTCCACATTTTGAACCCATAAAAACGGTTGACCCCTTAATATTATATATTTCTGTTTCTAACAGATGAAGAATGGATCTTTTTTATGCTTTTAACGCTAATTAATCTTTATTTTTCTTTGTTTACAAGGATAGGCCAAATTTTCCTTTTCTGGGACCATCGTAAGGGATGATTCCCTGGATCACATGGCACATTCATGAACCATCCAATTGGGTTTTTTCAACATGGTTGGTTGGTTTGCAATGAAATCTCAAATCTGTGGCTCCAAACCGCCTTCACATTTGGAAGAAATGATGCTAAGTTTGGATTACTAATAAAAGATGTGTACCCAATGAAAGATGCTTCCTGGTTAATTTAAGCCATTAATTAAACCCTAATTCATGTTCAGAAGAGATGGAATCCTGGTCTTTGGAATGTTCAACCTTTTGTAGCCTTACAAGAACATAACTTATATATAAATGGAGAATATCCTTGGACAAATCCAGGTACCTGGAATATTCCTATTGTATATTGCACATATAAGATCAAATAGATTTTATTATTATATTATAAACATGACTGTCATACATACATACTTGCATCTTTCATTCTGTCTATACTCTATAGGTAGGAATGGGATTCAAAAAGACATTCAACCCTTTTTCATGTTTCTTTTATCTGATTAGTAACCAGATCTATTATTCCACCATGACTTAGCACCTAGGTTTCTGTAAGGCTTGTTTGAAAGTCAATGAAGATTGTTGTTTGGTGAACTGAAATCAAGGTTTAAATTATCAATGCATTCAATATACTTAAAAATAAAATTGAGTATCAAGTGTGAAAATGGTATTCTATCATATAATATAGTTAATATTTAAAATTTTATCATGTATCGGCCTATGTATTATACCTATTGATACACAAAATATGGGTGTTTTAGGCCTTTGGCCTATTTCAGGTGGTAGATAGGCCTAAAACCTATCCCCTAATATATTTTTCAAAAAATAAATAAAAATAAGGTGAGCGCATGGTTCAAAGTACTGATACAGCCTTTACACCGTATCGGAGTGTATCAACAAAGTTACTAATATTTTAATTAATTAATATCACTCAATTCAAAGTATTTAACCTATTAAAAACCTTGAAAACCGATGAGTATTGATACTTTGAACCTTGGGTGAAACCTTTTGAAATTGGATCCCATTGTTGTACTTAAAATAAAACTTGGCGTGAGACTATGGATTATTCAGGTTCATTTAAGGAGCAGAATCGCAAATTGTTGGTGTGAGAATTCTAGAACCATGACAAATGGCTTCCTTGGTTTTTAGAATTCTTGCGTCTAAGCAAACCTATTTCGGTATCATGTAATGTGGACATGGCATTGATGGCTCTTCGTAGAAAAAAGAAAAAAACAAACAAACAGACCAAAAACCCACCTTTGTTTCCAACATTTCGATGTCTATAATTTATGACTCAAGGTTCCTTTTAGAGGTTACCTACTCTTGAATCTTGATGTTTGTTTGAATGGTGAGGCTTGAAGAGGGTGGTGATGGATTATTAATTCTTGCACCTTTTTTAGAACTAGAAAATTGATTTCTTTTTTTCTTCGTGGGCTATCAATTATTGAGGGTGAATTGTTTGTTTAAAAGAGTATAAGAATTTGGCCATTCTTAGGTCCCGTTCGTTTTTCAGTAAGTTATTTATTTGGATAAATGCAATTATCTGGGTAAGTTTTTCTTGGAAAATACTAATCCAAGTAAGTATATTTACCCATGTTTTTTTATTTTTTAAGTAAAAAAAGGAAATGACCATTTTAACCGTAAAAATTCATTATTAAGAGGGCATTTTTTTGCCTCATTCATTGTTGGAAAATTTCCCCCAAAGTGGAAAAGTTATTTACCCACCTAGGAGTACTTAGGAAATAAATTTTTCCCGGTCCCCACATTAATCTGAAAAAAGAACATGGAGTTATTCCCCCCTCTTAAAATCCAAAAAAAGAACACCCCCTTATATTAAAAAAGCGGATTCCCCTTTTTTTTACCTCTTTTTGGTGTAACATGATATAAAGACATGATTCAAGAAAAGGAAAAAGAAAAATCAATATGTCTAGGGCTGCAAACAGTATCCCATTGTTTGAATTCAAATTTAATCCCATTAAAGGTGATCCAAATTCGATCCATTTTAAACAGTTTTGTCCTACTATTTGGAATATCTGGTTTGGATTTTGGAAACTGAGTTTCAATGAATGAAAGCCATTTTTGTCAAAACAAATAAAAATTAAAAATTGATCCATTTAAATATGAATATACACCCCATCCAATCTAATATAATTTGATTCCATTTGATTTATTAAATATATATACTCGTACATGTTAAAAGTGTATATTGTACCTCTAAGTAAAATTGGCTTGAATGTTGTGTTTTTACTTTTTACTAGATCATTCAAGTTTTTAATTTTTAAATTCACTTTATTTATGAAATACAATATCAAAGTCATTTTGAATTCATTTTATTAATAATATATAAAATTTTCATCATTGTTAATTTAACTTATTTATACCATTCAATATCCCATTGCAATCCGAATCAGATGCAAATCCAATGGACAGGATCTGATTCAAGTTCAAATATATCCCTTTTCTTTTTCTTTACAGATGGATTTTAACAAATCAGAAATCCATGAAGTCAGAAACAGAATAACCAAAAGTCGAAACAAGCAATCTCTTGCTTTGCACTTTGTAGAAGATGAAGCAAGTTCCGAGTAAAAACACAGGAAGAATTCAATCAAGTCACAAGCAAAACAGGAAATATATCAGTGGTGGCTTCACATTTGTACCTCTGCAAGGAAACAAGCAATTTCTTTCTTTGTATTTTCTGGGAAGCCAACGCAATCACCTCTCGTGAACAAATGACAGCAAAAACAGGTTAATTAAATAAAAAATAAATACAAAGGTTACTTGAAGCGTAAAAGCCAAACATCAACCTGAGCTCTGAGCTGAGGCTGTGATTATGGAACAAAAGACAAAAACAGGAAATGCTGTGTGATTGATTATAAGACAAAACAACAAATTGAAACAAAAACTTGAGATCAAGTTCTATCTTCTTTCTTCGTTATTTATCATATTACAAAAAAAAAAAACAAAAAACAAAAACGCCACTTGGATTACGTTACAAAACTTGAGAGTCTCTCTCTCTCTCTCTCTCATGGACATGGCCTCTATTAATAGGATCGGCTGGAAGAAGAGGTAGAAGGTGAATTGGAATGAGTGTCGTCATCCTTCTTGCAACTGCTCCTCCCTTCTGCTTGTAATGGCGACCTTGGAGATAGCTTCTGTCGCTGCTCAGAGCGCACAGTCGGTACCGAGGGTGCAGTTATTGGAGCATATATCGTCGGATGAGCAGTAACCCCAGAAACCCCATTTAGCTCTCCCTTGGTTTCTGTAGCTGCAGCATAATCATGGGGTGGTACCCATATACCTCCGACCACTACAAACTGAGGTGGTTGGGGGCTGCCGTTGTTCTGCACCGCCGGACTGGGTCGTCTTGTATGCAACCTATATTTCTGAAACAAGCAAAGAAAGATGAATTAAGAAATTCAGAACTGTAGAACATGGGTGGAAACCTTGAAAATTCAACAAGAATACAACTCATCACACTAAGTCTAAAACAATTATTCCCTCGAGATTCTGTTGTCTCTTGTCTGCAAGTCTGCAACATATATATCAAAGTTTTTCACAGTGTTTTAGACTAAATTAACAGGCAAATATCAAGCAAAATGATAAAATCACCAAACAGTATCATGCCCTCGATTCTCTGTTGTATGTTGAGGTCACCTCTCACCAATAATGGTGTTAAGGTCCATATACAGCCAATAGATCATTGGCTCAACAGATGGCGATTGGATGATTCCAATTACTCAAAATCCCTCCAATCCTAAGCGAATAAATTCCAATGGGTTGTTGGAACTTCTCGTCAGTAATGCCCAAAGACTTATCTAAACCATGGATATCTACCAAATGGAGTAAATGGTGGGTCCCTAATCCTTATCGTTTTCTAGTCCCAACTCTCAAGTAATCTACTTGCCTCTGTTCAATAAAATAAATCCTCTAGCTCTGTATTTTATACTGATAAAATTGGAAGAATCACATCAGCGAATCCTATGCAAATCTTTCCCCTTAAAAAAAATATATCAGCATTTACGATTCTCCACGCTTTGCTTCAATCCAAATTTAACCGATAAGTCTCAGCAATCACATTAATTAGAAGATGCTCTATGAACTGACCTAGATTCCCAAATTATTAAGATGGAGTCCAACAGAAAAAATATTTTAGATGGAAAACGAAAATTAACAGAGATCGATGATCAAACAAACCTGTAAGTGGCTTTTGACTTCATCGTTTGTAAGCCCATCTACTTTCATCAGTTCCCTAATCTGCTTAGGCGTTGCAGCTGTGAACAGATTAAACAAAGCATGAAGCAGCATGTTAGTGACCATACCAATTCACATTTAATCGAGAACTGTATTTAAGAGAAGAAAAAAATGGTTTGATTAATTTACAGACCATGAGAACCACCAAGCTGTTGAAGGGCATGTAAGAATCGCCGGTGCAGTTCCGGAGACCAACATCGCCTGGGCTTCCTGTTTGACTGTGATTTATCTTCTCCTCTGTTGTCGCCATTAATTGTGTCAGCAGTAGAGCTGATTGCAGCAGTTGTTTGGGCTGACGATGGTATCACCGTTATAGATGGTGCTGTGAGTTTATCATCTCTCTGAAATGGATGAAATGCGCCTCCACCTTTCTTCGACTCAATCACCGATGGCTTCCGACTAAGATCCTGTAAATTCTTCTAATTCTAGTTTAATCAATCAAAAAGAAAAAGGAAAGGATGGACTTTTGTTCCTCTCTTGTTTTCCAAAGAAGAAAAAGAAAACAAAAAGAAAGAAAGATCTGATTTTTAACCTGATTTAGGGATGGATCTGGGTCTTGGTTCCATAATTGGACAGATTTCAACCAGTCAGCCTTCTTGCCTGGTTTCTCATTTATGTCCTCGTTCTTGGGCTTGTTTGATTCTTCGTCTTCTTCGGAAGAGAAACACCGTTTCAAAGGAATAAATTCCTCCAACACAGGAGCTTCGCTTGATGTCTCCTCTGAACATTCAGATTGTCCAGGAAAATACTCTGTGGTGGTAGCAAGCTGCTGTCTGCATGTCTCGATGGCTGGAACACAAACAACCCAGAAGAGAAAAAACATCAATATATCAACAACCCACATGACTAAAAATAAAAAACAAGACTGATTCAACGTGTAATCTTAGGATGATGGTCATTGCCCGCAACTTGGGTGGCGAGATTCATTACTTAGGAGCAGAAAAGACATGAAAAATGAGATGGGTATATGAGGGATACCTTGAGTAACAAGTTCCAGACAGAGAGGGAGCTCGCGACGGAAGACCTGGATCTTACGACGTTCTTCCTCCAAGGCTTCCATGTAAGTCTGACACTTGTGCGCATTTTCTGTATAATTAGCCATGATGGTCATGGTCGGTTGTGGGTTCATTTTAATTTTATCGATCAATTCTGAATCCTCTGAGTTCTGAGGCTTAGAAGAAGGATGAGAAGGATAAGAAGAGAAGAAGAAGAAATTCTGATTCTAGAATAGAAATGGAGGAGAGTAGATGAGAACCATTAAAAAAAGGAGGCTTTTGTTTTACAACATCGACGGGTCCGTAAAAAGCTGGAAAAGATAGAGAATAGCAGGATCTAAGCAGTATCAGGAATCAAAGAAGGAATAAACTTGGAGAGGAAGAAACAAAAACGATGAGAGAGAGAGATGCAGGAGAAGAGAAATCGGAGGGCGTAGAAAGAAGGATCGAGGTCGGGGCGTCGCGTATAGAACGAATCTTTGATGGTGGTGGGGGAAGGGATTTCAGGAAAGAAAGGGTTGAATATTCGAGGGGGCGATTCCTTCTTTCGTGTCTCTCTCTCTCTCTCTGTGCTGGCGCTGACGTCAGGATCAGGAAGATCAGGAGAGAGAAAGTGGAGATAAGATCAAAAAACACCCATCTCCATCTGGAGCTGTCTCCCTCTCTCTCTCTCTCTCCCTCCCCCCTCTCCCTCCGAATATCCTGAATGATGAGAGAGAAAACGTTTGGAAGAATCACGAGAAACCGTTCCAGAGAATCTTCTTCTTATTAACGTGCTCTCTCCTGCCCACGCCGCGTATGGGACGGACGAGCCTTAAAATTAACGACGGAGAGAGAAAATAGGAGAGAGAAAGAGGGGAGAGAGATAGAGAGACCTGAGAATTGCCTTTTCCCGTCCTCAAAGGGCGAGGTACGAGGTGTGACCCTTTGATTGGAATAATCTTGCTTAAACGTAGACCCAGAGATAAAGATACTGATGGAATGGTGGGATTTTATTCTCCACACGTTGTTTTGTGGGGACAAATGCTTTCACGTTTCCCGCTAATATTTAAGACTGTAGTTGTGCGGGTCCCACCAAAGAGAATAAAATAAGTAATTGATTGGGTCAAAAATTAACTCCGAGGCAAAATAATGATGACTGTGTAAACGTATTTCCGTTGTCTGAATCCAAATAAACTCGGATACGGATCCCAACCATCAGATCCGCTATTTATTGTATGGAATTTGGATCCACCCTATTACAGAGCGTATATTCATGGACAGACGAAGGACGGTCAATCTAACCCTCAACGTGTACCAGCATTTCGTCGGGGTTATTAATGAATAGTTTAGATCGGCCACGTCATCTTTTCACTTAAATCGGAATGGTCCTTGTTAACCGGATCAGGTTAGGATATCCGAATATATATAATGGGTAAACAAAATATAACTTTTAGGATTAAAATTCATTTGAATTGAGTGGGAATAGGGAATTTAGATATGCTTTTTTTTTGTTTATATTATCTAGTTTGCTTTATATTTAATTTTTTAATTTATGTTAAATTCATATAAATTTACTAACCTTTAATTGAATTCGATTTGAATGGCATATCTCGATATATAAACAAAACGAATTCATAAATGTGTTTTACACATCCATGGATATTCAAATATCGCATTGAATTTGGATAATTGGATCTGCCATATTCTTGTGGACCTTATTGGGATGTATTCCCATCCGAATTCGATCCATTTTATTTCCAACCCTACTACCTTCACATGTTTTATTAGGTTTGGAGAGGCTTGTTAGTCGATTAATTTAGGCATTTAGATAAATTGCACATATTGATATAAGAGCATGTTAGCGCATGCGCACAAACACACATACATATAGATCAAATTTAGGTTACCCTTAATTAGATTTACTCGAATTCGAATTCGAACAAATGGATACTATTGGCAATAATTATATTAGAAATATGAGTTACAAAAAAAAAAAAGGAATGTGATATAATTCGTTTTTTTATGAAAAAAGTATTTATTTTTTACAACTAATTTACGTATAAGAAACTTAAAACAATTCAATTTAACCTTAATCCCCACTACCCATCCTGTCCTGCCATTATGCACTATCAAGAGTCATTTAGAGGAAGAAAATGGGATGTGTATTCATATCGGATTGGCTAAAGTTTTTTTGTCGACTACCAACCAGACATTAGAAAAAAAAAAAAAGGCAACTTTTGAGAAATTTTTTATTCTTTTTTGCATTCAACCAAACGAACCCTTAATCTTTTTATCATTTTTTATATTCAAGAGGAAAATTAGAGTGGAGATTGAATGGAAACAAAGTGATCCTACTTTCTCATAAAAGGCAACTTTTAACTTCCTTTCTTTCTTGCTCACTTTCTTTTCACTCTTCTCTTGACAACCGAAAACAGTGTTATGTGTGCCTCAACTCTCAAGTGATAATGGTTTGTTTTGGTGGGTAACCCTTCACTGCCGGGTTGGGCCCCCTTGTTCCCTTTAAAATCCAATGTCATGTGGGCTAGGTTAGACCTACTACTAAATTAGGGCTCTTGCCACCTGGCCCATTAAAGCCCCTTTTGGCTTTTGAGCATTCAATTGAACAAAACAAATAGCTAAAAATCGTTGGATAAAGGTTCAATTTGTGGAAATTTGGGCCAAAAATGTGAACAAATGGAGAAATCTACTGTATCCAACTGATGGATATTTTAAAATTGGCCACATAATTGCTCCATATGTACCAGGATAGATAGATTATGACTAAAAAAAGCAGTATAGGTTAGGTCAATTAGATAAGAATCATGAGTTGATTGATTAGGAAGAAGTAGCTGTGTCTTAGTGACACATGCAAGTGGCTAGAGGTAAACAGATGGACTAAAATTTTGGGATGATTGTTTGGACGTGAGGGTATGAGTCAAGATCTGTTTGGACGTGTGTCTTAGTGACACACCTAAAATGCTTCCAACATTATCTATTATGGCACATCTAAAATATGATTGTCATGTCAAAAGTATGACTCCATCCATGTTAGGTGTGTTTATTTGGAGAAGATCTCAGATCAAATACGTAAGGGCCCGTTTGGCGCTTCCTTTTGCACGGTTTTTTTTGGCTGTTTATAAATAAAGTAGACCGATTTTTGGTCTATTTTTGTTTGGTGCGCAGAAAATTTAGTCGTCAAAAGCCAGAGCACCGAAAAGATATGAAAAACCCATTTGAACTGATTTTGGGAAGTTCCAAATAAAGTTTTTCGCATCTTTTTCATTTTATTCTCGTGCGGAAAGACATGGAAACACACACGGAAAGACATGCGTCTGCCAAACATGCTTCGGACTGCTCAGATCTTCATACAAAAGTTCAATGCATCTTTTGACTGTTAGAGCTACAAGAAGATCTTCTCCAAAAGACACGCCAAACGAGTCCTAAATTATGGTCAAAAAAATTTTGAGACCAAACTAAATTATTGTGGCATGAAAATTAAATTAGAACAAATTAACCATTTTATTGTGGTTTGATGCGGTTTCTAATACAATTTGGGTCATTCTATAATTTTATTGGTCTTAACCTAATTAGAAATCCAAGGCTCAAGTTTGGAAAGAATACAAATACAAATATGTACGGTATAAATGTATAGAAAATAATATAAAATATAAGGTTTTGTACTCTATATACGTGTATTTGTACTCATTGCAAACTGAGCCTAAATAACACCTATACCAAGTCTGAATCTGCTCCTCTCAGTGACCTCACAGCATATCTTGACCACACATCGAGAACATCTCTTGTATTTGTATTTATTACTCACGAAGAGATGTTCTCAATACACAATGGGATGTGATTGTAAGGTCAGTGTGAGGAGTATATCCTAATTCACCCTTATCTTTTCCAAGTCTTTTTTTTTATTTTATAATTTTATGATTTGATTTGATTTGGTTTATAAAATTCAATAAAATAAACTAAAACCATAAACCATAATTTAAGAAATTGTGAAATCGAACCAAATTGTTTTGGTTTGGACTGTATAATAAACACCCTTATGTATAAAACATATTTGAGATGTACGAATATAAATCAAGTTGTATGCGTGTTGGAAGATTTCTTATTGGGAGCAGATTCGGATTCGGCAAGTATTGGAATTATAGTAAAAAAAAAAGAAAAAAAAAAGTCCAAAATTTTTCATAAAAAAATTGAAGAAATCACATTTGACAGCAGGAGCACGGCTGTCAAGGGGTTGGATTCAGACAAAAATACCTAGATCAGAGGCATGATTAAATATTTAAATGATCAAACTCAATTGGGATTCGAATATGCAAAGCAACAAGTCTATTATTTTTGCACATCTTTTAGTAATATTCTCAGATCAGATTTTAACGGGAGTGGAGGATTGGATGGATTCAAATTCATTCCAAAACCAGCTAACATAATCGAATTGCATTCATGATATAATTGATGGAGAAGTCTTTCTTTGCCCATCATTATCAACCTTCAAAATTTTGTTTTTGTAGTGATAATCACCGGCCAATGTTATTAAGAATCTAATATTTTTATTATTTAATGGGAGAATTTTTTAGGCCTTTGTAAACAGGGGTGTCAATTGAACATAATTTGGTCGAATCCGATTTAGCCCAATGTGGGTTCATTACAAATGGATCAGGTCCAATATATCCAATTTAATGAATACTTTGGACTATTCAATCTGTTCAATTTTTTTTTTAATTTAGATTAATTCTAACCCAAACCTGGTCATTGACACCTATGTCAATGGACCAAGCATTATCTCAATCCAATCAAATATAAAGTCATTGCGGATTGACTAGGTCAAATCCAACCCAATAAATATTTTGGACCATTAAACCTGGACTGATCCAATTTAATATGTCTTATTAGTTCATCCAATTCATTCAAATTGATTTTGATTTGAATGGGGTCCAATCCAAAACCGATCTATTGATACCCCTACTTGTAAGGCTGACATTGAACCAGAAAAAAAATTATTAAACTTTGAATCAAACTGATCTAGTTATATAAGGTCTGGGTCAGCATTATATGTTCCATTATTGGCTTTGGTTGTTCAGGACCAATTAAGAACTGATTGTCAAATTACAGGTAAAAAGTATATGCCAGTTATAATTAGGCTTTATCGGGTCAGACTTGATATTCGTGATTAGGGTCTGGTTCGGATCTGGGTTTGCACATTTACATACTTGATCGGGTCTGGATCTACACTTGACCCATTGACAGCACAATAATGATGAAAATGAAAATTGAAATATAGCTAATGATTCACCAATTTGTTTCTATATCTAACAACAGCCCCAATATTAATATATAGAGAGAGATATCATTGAGCCAAGGCAAATATCAAAAAAATGCCCTTCTTACTGACTGACTGACACTGTTTCTTGTAAGAGGTGTCTCCTAATACAAGACAGTTATAAGAAAAAGATTGATTGATTTGAAAAGGGAAGAAAGCAAAAATAAGCCCACAACGACAAAAGAAGAGGAATATTCTAATACTAAAACACCTTTAATGATACTTTATATATTGACTAGGATGGCAATTTTACCATTCTTGTTTTGTCGTTATTCATGCCTTTTTAATGGCTTTTAGAGTGGAAGAATTCCGGGTTCTCAAATGTCCGGTTCTGCTTTCCAACTTGGAGATGACGAAAATTGCATCCTTTCATTGGTGTTTGCATT